GCCGAGTCCGTCCCGGCCCAGCCAACAACTTCCAGAACGGGCTGGAAGCGCCCAGTAACAGCTCTTAGCCACCTATCTCAGACGCCCCGCCCCGAGCGCCTGTTCCGCCTGGTGCGGGAATCCCCGTACGTGCGGCTGGGAGGGTGGGGGCGGGCGGCGACAGTCGACAGAGACGTTGGGAGTTGGAAACTGCGCTGACACCCTGCCGCCCACGCCGCCCTTCTCTCTGTCCACAGAGCTTTGGAGCTGTCTGTGGGGCAGTGTGGTTTTTTCGTCTTTGTTTCTATCTATAGAACACAAAGACAGGACATCATATTTAGCTTCTAGATCTTGAGCGCAATCGTCATATTCCTGTTCCCAATCCAAGGGATCCTCCAGTCTGAAGCCTTTCTTTTGCGACCTGCCAGAGATTTGTGGCCTTTTCAGTTTTGTTTGCTCCAGAAAAAGGCCGCAGAGAAAGGCCAAAAATACCAGTCCCTTACTGAAATACCATTACCCGTTTCAGGGATTTTGGCTTAAGAGTAACTACTCTTAAAGTGTATGCTGCTTATAATGCGTGATTTATGTTGCTTTGAGCTTACATCTATGATTCTTTCACGGCCCTCGAAGGCGTAGTTTACCTTTATTTTTGTTGGCAAGGGTAAAATGTAGAGCCTTTGTTTTACGAGAAGCCAGATAGTAATTTCTTCTCCAGGAAACCATTCCTAAAGTCAGCTTTCTCCTGTACCCAGACATAAATGATAATACAGGCCGTATTTTACCTGGTGCTGTATTTTTGTACCTGTCACTGTCAAAATCCAAGCCCTTGAAGGCAGGCTTACTTCAGATCTTCATTGCCTTGCACAATGCAAGGGTAGGTACTTCCATCTTAATTGAATTTTTACTTCCCATAAAAATTCTTCATGGTGACTTACATTAGTCATCATTACACATCACCGTCACCGTCAGTTTTGTAACCACAGTGTCATTCAAGGTATTGTACAATTTTGAGTTTGATGATGAGATGTGTGACAGTTTCAGTTATTTTAGTACAGCCCTAATGAGAACAAGGCTGTGGTATTGATTCCCTTCAAAGTTGGCATCTAAATGAAGGTCACATTCACAAGGAGGGCGTAACTGAAAGCATGTAGAAGCATCATTATAAACAGTTGTTAACACACACAAATATAGACTATTCCAATAAGTATTGTTTTTCTTTTCTTTTCTTTTTTTTTGAGACAGTCTCACTCCATCACCCAGGCTGGAGTGCAGTGGCGCGATCTCAGCTCACTGCAACCTCCACCTCCCAGGT